TTCTCCTAATAATTTAGCAAGACATCAAAAGCATTAATAATATAGAACAATGTGTATGTATGTATATATGTATGTGTTGTGTTGTAAGCTTGTGTTGTTTACTTGCGTCACCTCACGTTTATGCTTTGTGCGTAGCTCAGGTGATTAGCGCAATTAGACAGGTGCTCATAACGATGTTTCCACTGGATTAAACACAAAATTTAACGCGCGTCAACTGCGTGGAGACCAAGAGGAGGTCGTTGGTGGCGCACCGAACACATACACATATAAATTCATATACATATTACATATATATGTACCTGGAAGTACGTGGCATACTTCTATTTCCTCTCCGCATAACTAATGACTGTTAATCTTCGCGTTGTGTTTTTGGCAATTAAAGTACAGTGGGACAAATTGCACTAAAACTTGATTTTCATACTTCAGTTTGTATGGCAGCTATATGCTATAGTGACGCGATCTGAGTGATTTTTCGGAGTTTGCACCGTTGCCTATACTATAGTTGTCTTATATCGGCAACAAATGAACAACTTCTTGGGAGGAAAAGAACGTGTGCGAAATTTCAGATCGATATCTCAAGAACTGAGGGACCAATTCGCTTATATACAGACAGACGAACATGCTTAAATCGACTCAACTCATCATGCTAATATATACAATTTATAAGGTGTTCGGTATTTCCTTCTGAGTGTTACAAACTTTCTGGCAAAGTTAATATGCACTGTTAAGTGTATAATAATAACATCTACAGCTAATGTCAGGCTCATGCCGACCTGAGGAATCAGAGGTAAAAACATTATGGCAAATCTTTTGGAAAGAGATAGATTCTCGGAGTCTAGCATCTTACGGCTAAGCTTTACGGATCAAGAGCCCTAAAATGCTATTAGCATACAAATATTTAATTTTTTTTGCTTTTGGAGCCATAAAACCGAGCATTTTTTTTACTATTATAATTCCTAAAGTATTTTGACTTCAACATAAACCCATATACGGTAATTATAGTCAGAATATAACACATAAAAGCTATGTAAAAGGAACCGATTTTGTCCTTTAAGCACTTTTAAGAATCTAAAACACTTTTTATCTTAGCGTAGTGTACTACAAGTATATGAAGGGTTTCGCTGAGATTTTCGTGCTATTTTGGCAGTCTATCTGACTTTTCCTACAAGTAGGAGGTTCTATCAGTTTTATACCGCTTCCGAAAGCTAAGATCTCTTTTGAAATTATACCTCAATTATGATTATAAGTAGCTAAAACGAGGCATCGAAAATGAATACTCTGACTAGAAACGTTACTCGAATCCAGAACAGCAATAGAGTAAAATTGAAACCTAAGAGATAGTAAATCTGCGTTCAGCTATCTTGTCCAATAGGCTGTATCGATCAGCGTTTTCTGAGTTTATGGTAATAACCCCATTAATTTAACCCTAAGATGGTATATTACCAAAGGATGTAAAAAGTATTTCCCTGATTTCCAGAAATATAAAAATACTGGGTAACCGTTTAAACTAAGTCTTGGCAATACTTCCGAGAAAAAATAGACGCAACTAGCAATTTGAATATATGAACTATACGAACTTACTATTGTAGTAATACTAAACAAACACCAAACCCAACCAAATTTTATCTAAGCACTTGAAAACGGAGTCAAGAAGGAGTTCCTCTCCATTTTATTCTCTCTCAACTATCTAGTCCAATGCACTTACGCCTCAAGCTCGCCCCACTGTGCGATAATAACACAAACAGGAGATATGATAATCAGTATAATATACCGTTAATTCGTGCCTTCCGCAAATCACTTGCACTTTCAGCGGCACTCGCTCATCAAATAAAAGCGAGAGGAGTCAAAGGGCACTTGGCAATGCTGGAATTCCAGTAGTAATCCGCCCGCTATTCGTGAACCGCAAGCAGTGGGGTAGTTGAATATTCGCACAAAATACTTTAAATAGTAGTTCTTAACTAATAAAAATACAGTGAGATAATCGCAATCTGCTTACACTCCATTACTACAAAATCACCGCGCTGACGCGCAACCGGCGCATCAAAGTTTCCCTCCAACTCATTGGAATTCTCTAAGCGCGCTACTTCGCAAAGGAAATTGTGTCTATTTACCTATTCAAAAGAAGACATTCAAAGCTACTTATCTTGCTCAACCTAAATACTCTCTTTGTCTCAATTGTTTCCATATCCTGGCACATTAGCGCGAATATCCTTTTTGCTTTTGTTGAGGACTAATGTGAGCTCATTTTGGCACTTATTTTTTTAGCGTTTTCGCAAAGGAAGTAATTATGTTTTTAGTGCAAGGCTGCTTTTAGAAAATGGTGTTTCTTAAAATATAATGGATCTGCATTATTTAAATTGCTCATTTATGAAAGCGTGCAATTAAAATAAGGAGCAAGAAAGAAACAAGTTTAGTTTGAATTGAAACTGATAGTATTAACAAAAAACTTGACCGAGCGTCACCTTTCATTTGTAATATGAGTAATATTCCTAATGAATCTCAGGACTCTTTTGATATAAAGGAATGCACCCCTGGTCCAGATATTGCATTTGAGGTGTGACTGTTATCGAGCCAACCTCCTGCTAAGTGATAGTACCAACAAGACTTTTGTTGTCTCTAGCGAAAATGCAGTATAAGCTACTTGTCATATAGTTTTGGTGATTTCAACTGAGATGATAGCTCTTGGTTATATAAAAATAAATATCACTTTTAGCGACATAGATCCGACAGCCATAGAAGTGCTAGCGCTTGCGCTCACTAAGGAAACTAAGAGAGTAATAGAAGAGCAGTTAGTGCAAAATTAGTGTGACATCTAAACTTAGGTGACCATATATGTCCCGGCAAAATCCGGGATGGTTTTTCCCATATTATAATTCATAGAAAATTGCGACATATAATAGGTAAGAGAGCAACACAATTTTATTCACTTCATTATTTTTTATTTATTTCCAAGCCCGGGACGGCCAGGACGCGTAACCGGAATCCGTACTGTCCCGGACAAACCGGGAGAAATGGTTAGCTAACCAGATCTAGTTGCACTTTTCAATGCTTTTAACAAAAATACCTTCACACAAACTCCAGAAAGTATTTTTTTATTACAGTGCGCAACAATAGCGTTGGTCTCGTAAATATATTATAACGTTTTAACATATTTTCAGTCTATGTGTAATCATCTTCTGAACAAGGCAACTTGGACCCACGTAAGTAGGTAGCTTATGCAACGGTATTTTAGTGACAAAAGAGTGATGTTATCGAGGGCTGAAGTTACATTCTGCAACAACCACTCAATTACAGCTGAATGTTTTAACCAATTGATGTTGCTTTCACCTGCTTTGACTGGGTTTTGAAGTCCTTGAGAGAATGAGTTCGTTGAAAGTGTCACTACAGACTTCAATATCGGCCACTTCGTTGAAGTTTTTATTGCTTGTTATACTCTGAACAGGGTATATTAAGTTTTTCACGATGTATTTAAATCTAAATAAAAACGTCGGAAACCCTATAAGGTATATATATAAATGATCAGCATGACGAGCTGAATCGATTTAGTCATATCCGTCTGTCTTTCTGTCTGTATATATGCGAACAAGTCCCTCAGTTTTTAAGATATAGATCTGAAATTATGTACACACTTTTCTCTTCAAGAAGCTGCTCATTGTTCGGAACGGTCTATATCGGATCACTATAACATATAGCTAACATTCAAACTGAATGATCAAATAAATGTCCTTGTATGGAAAACTTTTGTAGTTGAGGAGATAATTTCATGAAATTAAACATGAATCATTGTCTAAACTTTAGACTCTAAGCAACGAAGAAATTGTTTAGATCGGATTGCTACAGCATATAACAGCCATACAAACTGCCCGATCAGAATCAAGTTAAAAATCTATTTATAACTTTTTTTTGCTAAATGAAACTAAACTATAAACGCGTGGAATTATGGATTTCCTCAGTTTGATAATAACCTTGACCTTCGCCGAAAAAGTCAATGTCTCAAAAGCTCTTTCTAGACAAAGCTAGGGGCTTTTATCATCAGCAATTATAATACTTCTAGACCTCGATTGATTTTTTCGGATTTTTATAGCTGATTAGTTGCGGTGGTTACCCTTAGTTTCGGTATGTCTTCGTGTTCTATCCGACGATGGCTTTAATATAGTAACCAAAACAAACATTGGGCCCAGACGAAAATGTATTTTATATTATATATATAATTAGGTAAGTCCCTAGTTATGCGATTATAAACACCATGAAATATTCCACTTTAAGACACACAAATAATAAATTAAATTTCTTAAAGCCAGCGCAGCACAGACGGACAACACACTCAAAAGTTGCGAATATTATTATGAACGACAACAATAAAGCGCAATGATGCCACAAAAGGATGCTTTCAACGCGGCAGCCGGTTGGTTGGCTGGCAGCTGGTGGCTCGAGCTACCTCCATAAACTTTAAATAAGTAACAGGCAAATAATGGAGTAAGAAGAACGGCTGCCAGGAAATTACTTCAGTGGCACGAAGTGGCATGCAACAGCATCGTGCGCAACTAAGTGGAAATTGCAGGAACAACAGGCTGCCAAGGCGCGCCAAGACGTGGCGCAGTAGTGAAAATGACAATGAAACGATGAAGTTTCAAGAAAGTGGAAATGAGCGCGAAATGTGCGAAAGTGGCAAAGTGACAAAGCCATAAAGTGGCAAGCGTGTGAGTTGGCGTAGTGGACATTTGCATGGCAAATGTGGCAAGTGGACGCAACGCATTTAAAAGCTTAAAAGCATTTAACAGCATGTGGCCGTGACACTACAATCAAACGCTCACACATACATACATACATAGACATGCACATAAAAGTATCTTTGAGTTAAAATCAAAATTAAAATGCCAGCGAGCGTACAACGGTAAACGGCTGCTTGGAATTGTGCCGGTAAAATGTGTGTAAAAAAGTGCAAATAATTTTTAAGTATATGTGTAGCTGATAAAATAATGAAAAAATCCCGTACTTACCGCTAAGTAAGCGCTTTGGCCGCGTAGACGCGGTGGCGGCTCGGTGAAAGGTTCGCCATTTGCTGCGGCCTTGTCGCGCCTGAAGAAAGATTGAAGAGAGAGAAATTACTACAAAAGCGCAATTAGAAAATGAACAAAAGAAAATGTAATGTTAATAAAAAATCACAAAAAATTCTCTTTAGAGAAATGTCCTTTGGCCAATATGTCCTTTCGCGGCCATACGAACTCACTTGCTTCTTAAAGCCATGCAGACACACACACATACATATCTAGAGGCATTTCTTGCATTATTTGCTTAAGATTCGGCCACTATTGTTCCTAAACTTACCACACACTCATTTGCTCCAATCGTCTTGCTACTTCACCCTCCCATTCGCTATGTCCTTTGGCTATACATACCACGCAAATGTGCGAAGACTATTGCGAATAGCCATTCTCTCTGCGATTTTTCATAATATTATATGCCAAATGAAATGGAAACAATAATCATAATAACAAATAGGCAATAATCATAATCAAAGTCGGAGGAAGCAATGAAAACATGGTTGCCAGGAGTTACATAGTTCAGTAAAAAATATAAAAATTTTTTTGCAAGTGACTTTATTCGCACTCCAATATGCATGACAGCACCCCGAAATGAGTTACAAACGCGACCAATGAGTAGACGGTTCCAGGAGCTATCTGAGCGGTCAACAATCATCCGTATTGTTTTGAGGACAAAGCACTAAGTTAAGAAGAATTAAACAGGAGCTTCCGCAGGGTGGTATTCTCTCCCCGCTAAGGTTTAACTCTTATACTTCGAAACTCTCTCAACAACCAGAGAGGAAAAATGTAGAAAGCTTAGTACCCTTTCCAAACTACAGCGGTCACCATTTTTACTGTTGTTTTATTGTACCTACTTGTTATTGTAGGAGCTTTAATAAAATTGTGTGCCCATTCTCGGCTTTTAATAGTATATCTCGATAAGTCATTATTGCGAAAATAACTACTTCTGAAACATAAAAAACTAGCTCATAACTAATAATCAAATGTAACCTAACCTCCAGAAACATATAATTCTAGCAAGCTGGCAACACGTGAATGTTAAAAAGAAGTTTGTGTGCTAATAAAACAATAAGATACTGAGAAATGTCGACAAACACAGTCAAATAAACTTGATTTGTGTCTACAGCCTGCATCATAGACAGATCAGCAAGGAACAACTTAAACCTAACCTCGTAAAACATGTACCAAAAAGAAAAACAATATGACGCTATAATTATATAATAAAAGAATAAGGCCGAAAATCACATCGAAGCAATCAGCGTCAATCAAATAGAAGCCCACCTATGGTCCTCTTTAGCTAAGAATATACTAAAAAAATTAACATACTTGAAGGTAAGGTTTTGAATTCAGACTTTTTATTTAAATATCTGGTGGATTATTGTGAGTTCCTCACTTTTTTACCTCCAAATTCAAAATATTTTTAGTATAATAAGAATAGCAACTATGAAACAAACATTTTTTGGTAATTGTACTATGACCCATCTTTTTCAAGAAGCTGTATGCAACTTCGTTTCATAAGAAACGTGAACACCGTTTCAGCTCGTCAAGTTGCAGTTAAAGTATGAATTATAAATGAAGAGACAAAGGCATCATGTCTTAACATTTTATTAAACCGAAAGTATTTAAAGCATGTGCTACAGCTTTCGCTTTCGAGCAAAAGTTTCTATATACACTCATAGGTGGGATTAATCTAGTAACTATGGAAAATGTGCTATATAATGCCAGGTAATCTGCGAATGTTAAGACGCCCAGAGAAAGTTTCAACCCTATTTAAGATCTGCACACTGTTAATTATTCATATTTCTTTGCTAAGATTGTGGAAACTTGACCAGAAGCGTGTTCTTATAAACACTTAAGAAGGTATTTCAAGTTCAGTTTCGAAGGTTATTTGAAGAAGTTCTTTTTAGCAGAACCTCAGAATTGAAACAAATCAGAAAAATATTTGAAAATGCTTAACCGCACTTCAGCTAACCTTCTAGGGACTTTTGAAAGCTTGAAAACAATTTGAATCTATTCGAAACTCCGTAGACCTAATGGAAATGAAATCAAAATATTTCACTATAGAAGATCTAGTTAGCTTAGCAGCGAAAATATATATTTAAATCGACTCATTTAAGGTAAGATGTCCATCCGTCTTTGGGACTCTTATTAAACCACTAACTTTCATTTAAACACCGGTGTATGCCCACACAAATATAAACCCCTCCCCGTTATGTTGTATTGCCGCAAAATTGCTTACTTACTGATTGCCAACCTTCACTAATTTCATGTGCATTATCACACGTGTTTCACACCCCTCCTTCAGCATCATAAGCATGCCAAGAATCACATAAAAATATAGTTTAGCACAATTCGTACATTATTTCCGGTTTCCTGTAGTCATCACCGCCACCCAATCCAACAACCCTGCGCCCGTACTTCACAACTACCCCTCACCACCGCAGTCTGCCGCTTGTGCGACAACCTTTAGTCATGTCCTGCAAATATTTACTGCCACAAGACCTTTTTGCTAGTTTGTTTGTTGTGGAGACGGGATGTTGTAAAAATGTGCACATAATGAGTTTTTGCGGTTTGGCGATTACCCAGAGATGAGTGGAGCGCCAATGGTGGCGCGCTGTGGGTGGCAGCGGCGCATAAAAACGAATATATGGATCTTGTTACGAAATACCAAATGACTAAACATTTAGATATGAGTGAGTCGCTGCTGTCAACTGCCCAAATGTCCGCTACACTGCTCTCCGCTGAGCGCTTTGATTGTCAGACTAAACGCAACTTCTCTCTCTAACTCGCGCTACCTCTTTCAACCTTTCGCAACCACTCTAGTTGTCCCACGCATAGTATTTTATATGGATAATGTTTGTATTTGACCGCAGCACTCGTTAAAATTCTTTACGTTGCTAGTTATTTGGCAGGAACTTTTACTCTTTCTACCCCTCCAACGTTCCGTCCATATGACGCGCCACACCCCTCAAACACGCTTGCTATTATTTGCTACAACTGTTTCTGTTACTATAAATATGTTCGTATGTGTTTGTTTGGCTTGCTGTTGTCATGTTGTGACTTCAAATGGCAAATGTTTGTCGATTTTCGTCGCCCTTCATTACTTTTAACTTGTCTTCCAGCGTACTCAATGCTTTCATCGCAGGTCAAATCGCTTTGGAAAGAGATTTATGCGACAAGTTCAAACAAAAGTTAATTAAACAAACTGCTGTGCAACGCTTGCTCGGTAGGTTGGTCGGAGGCTAAACTTTGTAGAAACAAAGACCTTGTCACCATAGCGCAAACTTTAGTCCAATATGTGAGGTTAGATTTCGAATGGTGTGAGAAATCTTCAAAATGAAATGTTATCCGCTGTGGTGTGAGTACGTGTATATTTTTGTACATATACATTCGTATATTGCTATTATAAATCACTTGAATATTTAAGTTTAATAGTCACGCTTATTACAAAAATATTGAGTTTTCCAAACAGGCTCAAATGTTATTATCGTTTTAAAGAAAAACTCATTTTCGACTGTGCTTTTCATTATAGTTAGCATCAAAATAGCTTACAAACTTTCGATACTTTCCGTATTTTTTAATACTCTCGATTTTTACTACGTTTACTTTTTTACCACAAAATAGGCACTGTCTAATCGATTTCCTTTTCATGGTGGAAGTGATACGAAGCCTTAATCACACTATTCAGCATTATTTTGAGACACGAGTAACATTTTCCAAAAATTACTATTCAAAACATCGAGGTTTGAATTTTGTTGGGGATCATAGTGCTTGTTAGGAAAGATCATAGTGCTCTGGAATCTTTTTAGGTCTATTAGTACAATTCTGTTACTATGGTAAAGACACCATAATTATAGAACATATCTTTTCGAATAGCGATTAATATTTAGCAAGGGATGTTCAATCTTCAAGCGTATCTCTGAGATGAAAATGTTTGCGATAAAATCAAAAAGCCTTTGGAATGCAGATTGAAACTTGTAAGATAACATCAAAAACCACAACATAAATCAGTGTATGAACAAAGAGTAGTTAAGACGAATGCTATGCCAATAACTAGTGATAACCACTTGCAGCCTATCATATTAATATAAGTAGTCATCTCTAGAATATCTGTTTTAAAGTACTGAGCAAATGTCATCTGAGCATAAGAATATTTAACTTCTTCAAACTACTGAAAACTTATCATAAATTCACCTTAAACTGACAGGATAAAGCATGTTGTTCAACTGAAGCACTGACTTGCTCAGAGGCGTGAGAGATTGAACTGCTTAAAAACTTCCTAAGGAGTGGTACTTCTGGTGCGTCACTATCGATGTATGTGGCCTGACATTGTTCGGATGGGACACAATTCCTCTTCTATTGGCTAAAACTGGCTGCTTTTGGGGCGTCGTTCAGACAGTCCAATTGTTGACACTACAGGTCCGAATCATAGTAGAATATTCCCTGGCAATCCCATCAAACATATAGCAAAATCTTCTTGACCATCAATCTTGGCTTTACTACCGTTTGCGCCGGTGACGCACTTTCCACCACCAGTAAACATCCGATTTAGAAAAACACTTTCTTGCGATTTAGCAGCGTCTGACAGATAGAAATTCGACCATGAGGTTGTTTTTTTTGCATTAACTTCACTCTTCAGCCTTCTTAAAATGGTTCCAAACAGTATTTTGTACAATGTTTAGCTTCTGGGGAATCGAGATACTGCTTACATGATGGTCTGAATGAACGATTTCTATTATTTTATCGATATTTTCGACAAAAGCTATCCAGAGCACGGTATAAAAATTTATCCTTTTAAATCCATAAAGCATAATCCGATTTCACTTATATAACGCGAGATACAAATTCCCATACTAAAGATAACTATTAGAAAAAGAATGCATTCATTTTTACTAGACCTTTCAATGCTTACGAGTATCTCCAAGCAAGTAGAACTCGTTCATAAAGCGGAAAATGCTGCAAAGCAATTGGAAAACTTCACGATCTTAGTCTACTCAGCACTTTCGAATTTTAAAACCTGATTAAAGATCAGGA